GGATTAGTTGGCTTGCTAAGGAAATTAGGTTCGTTCTCTTTCAAACTCACCCACATAGACTTCAAAGATTATCAGCTTGGATCTTTGGTTCCTAGCAGCCCAAAGTCTTCCATAATCTTGACTTCATAAACATTCACACCACTATTCACTTGGCAAGCATTGGACATGTGACTTGACCTTATTTTAGCATGATAAGGCATGTCGTGATTTATGCAAACCTCTGGTTTAATTACGTAGCGTGGCATGGTTGTGGATATTTTCCTTTCTTGATTTTGTACCTTAGCATGTGTTTAGGCTTGGCTTAGAGCTTGTATAAATTGGGCTTTAAGACTTGATTGGGCTTGCATGTGACATTTTTGGGCCTAACAGTCATCAATTGACCAATTTCGAACAATTTGATAATTAAACAACTTTATATTTTGATAAATTTTTGCATAAATAATATTTTTACCGAATTTTGATCATAATTATAAAATTTTATTAATCGGCGACCAAATGTTTACATTAGGAATTCGTAGGATTCCAATTTTAATTGTTTCATTAAAGATGTGCATATTCAAGGTAGGTGGGCAACATAAAAGAACACGTTAAATCCCATACCTACCCTAATTTGAGGCAAGGCCTAGTGGTTAGTTATCCATTTTTAAGTTATTTGATTGGGCAAGCTGGAGGACTGTGACTTGAGGTAGCATCTAATATGTGGCAGAAAAATCATCCTTATCGTTCTGCTGGTTTCTTGATTTGGACAATTTGGACTCCTCTCATATCTTCCCCATTCTTCCTATATGTCGTGAATTTGATTACAGCACTTACAAGTACTTAACACTATCATCATTTAACGGTCAATTGTACGTCAAATATGCTATAGTGACTTTAAAAAACATGTATGACCATGTGAGACTACTCAATTGAAATGGAATTTCAAATATGAATTACATAATCAAGGGTTATTATCACTTAACCACCACAAGTTAGTTCAGTGGTTGAGAACGAATTTCAGGCCTGTATTTCATACGACACGTCCTGGGTTCGATTCTTGACGTTGGTGAATCGCAGGATGGTGGCCAGGGGGAGGCTAAAATGCCTCTATAAATCTTTCTAGCTCCCGAATAGGTAGATTACCATGACGAAACCACCAACAAGTCCTTTTTTAGAAAGAAAAAAAAAAGGTTATTATCACTTAAATTGTAAGGAAAACTAAGGAAAAATCCAAAAAAAAAAAAATGTTTTAATGAAAAATGACAAATAAAGGTGCAATGAATAGTACTAGGGAAAGGTAAAATTGTGGTTTTCCGTTAAAAGTGAACAGTACCGGAAGTATTTTGTTAAAACTCCCTAAATTGTAACCTCAGAATGATCATTGAAATTTGAAATCATGACAATGATGTTCACAACAGGCATATGGAACTAACTAAAGGAACATGAGATCCACGTGAATATATTGTGGAAAATAAATAAAATGGTTTTGGATGGTGTACAATAGACAAGTGTGGATTTCACTACTACGAGCATCTCCAATGTGAGTTTTTATTAAGAATTCTCACCACTAATTTTGAGGACTCATTTAGAGACTTTAAGAGAATATTCGGATCTCTAAAGAAATATTGTATGCAATGGAAGGTCAATAATGTATAATCCCTAAATGTAGGGCCTAAATATTAAAAAATCATTGTGCCCTTAATAAGAGTATTCGGGCCATTGATAAAAACTAAAAATCTATCTCGACTGTTGATTTCTCAACGGCTCAAAAAAAAAAAAGAAAAAAAAAAGATGCAGGAACGACTATGAGCATTCATATGTATGGGTTCAAAAAACAAGAAAAAAAACAAAAAAAGAAGCTAATGTGTAGTATTCACACGTGGGTGGGGTTTGTTTCTCACTCAAAATCAACAGTGGGGCCCACTATTTAAGTCCTTATAAGCAGCTTCACATTTGAGGGTTATTTGAGGTATTTGGCGATTTTCTATATATTGAGATACTTTGAGGTCTTCTATTCTGACCCATTGGAAGCCTTTTGTCCCTACATTTATGGACAATACAGTTGTAGGGACTCCATTTAGCGTCCCCATTGGAGATGCCTTAAGTGGGTCTGATCCAGCATCGAATTGTTTTAACTTAACCTCCTAACTTTATTACTTTGAGTGAAATTAGATTGATACTAATTTTAGTTGAAGTTTTATCTCAAAAAGTTCGGAGTTATTAGGAATGAGTCACTTACTTAACTTGTAGACTATTGTAATATTTTATCGAAGTGAGTTCATTGTGAGAATAAACTATAAAATCTACATCATTTTCAAACTAAGTTTATTCATTGCTACTACATCCACATCAGCGACTTGTATGGAACCACACAGTCGTAACACAATATAACTTATTCAGATAAAGTTCACTAATCGTGTGTACTTATGCTTGCCTCTTGCCTCTAGCTTTCAAGACTTATCGGGTCCTTATTAATCAATGTCTATATTATCTTGTACAATTTAGCGATTCAAGAACTTAACCAAGTTTATTGTTGACAAAAAAACAAAGAAAAGAAAATAACTTAACCAGTTTTATTAAGATTCATATGACATTTCTTATGAGAAAGTATTTGTGCTCATAAACTCTTTTTTCAAGAAGTGCTTATGTACGTAAAATTAAGGCGCTTGTTCATAAAGCATTTATACAACTAGCAAAATGCTTTAAAGTTGTTTTGCTAAACGTATCAAGAAGCGCCTTTAACTAGGGCTGGACTTGGCCAATAATCGAGCCCGAGACGCCGAAGCTGAAAACGAAGCCTTCGGTTGAGCCATTTTTATGCCAACACCGCCCCGCAACCAAACCGATCACGTTGATCAGCCAACTTCAATGGTGTAGTTCGGCCGGCCACTGGGCTTGCTGTTTAGAGGAGAGATTAAGGCCTTCAAAGGAAACCCAAAACTAAATAGGCCCATTCCTCCGATGGGCCTTCAAATGCATGACTTGGAAACAAAATCATGTACAAAAGCAAAATAAGAACAATGCCACGTGTCACCAATGAAAAACCCTACAACCTTATCCCACATCAAAATCTAATCTTCCAAGTCATCCAATTCCCTGATCCAATATCCAAAAATTAACCAACCATTTCCCTTCACATATCCAAAAACCCAATTTTCCTCGGCTCACATTTCTGCACCGCACCTTGAGACAATCACAAAGAGGAGTGAGAGAGAAGGAAATGGCCTCCACTGCATGCTTTTTGCACCACCATGCACTCACTACCGCCGCTTCTGCCCGGTCCTCGTCGTCGTCGCAGCGCCAAGTGGTGAACATCAACAAGCACAACCAGGTTGTGATCTGCCGGGCCCAGAAGCAGGCCGCTGGCCAGGAAGAAGAGAGCGGTGCTAACGTCTCGCGGCGGTTGGCTCTCACAGTCCTCATCGGTGCTGCAGCCCTTGGCTCCAAGGTCTCCCCTGCTGATGCAGCTTATGGCGAATCAGGTACACACGCACTCACTCGAACTTACGAAATGTTCTCTTGTCAGACTGTCTAGTTAATATACGAGATGTTCTCTCATCAGACGGTCTCATCAGACTGTCTAGTTAATATAATGTGTTCGTTCTTGATCGAAGTGACTTATAATTATTGACTAAATGCACACGCAGCCAATGTGTTTGGAAAGCCCAAGTCGAACACAGACTTCTTGCCATACGTTGGAAAGGGATTCAAGCTATCCATTCCTGCAAAATGGAACCCTAGCAAAGAGGTTGAGTACCCCGGTCAAGTTCTTAGGTACGAGGACAACTTCGACACCACGACCAACGTGGCCGTAACAATCACCCCAACCGACAAGAAGTCCATCGGTGACTATGGCCCCCCCGAGGGATTCCTCACTCAGGTGTGCTACCTTCTCCTTTCCGATGACAGTGTGAAATATGTTCCTACCAATTTGCTTACAATTCATTTTTTTGATGTGGGTTTTTCCTAGGTGGACTACTTGCTAGGCAAACAAGCTTACTTTGGCAAGACTGATTCCGAGGTAATTCGTTGTGTAACACACCCACACACATTCCCAAATTTGTTCCCAAGTTAACTCAATAGAAAAGCATAATGGTGGCAACTGTGTGAGTTGTTATGGAATTCGAGTTTGAATATGGTATAGGGTGGTTTCGACTCGGGCGCCGTGGCCACAGCCAACATATTGGAGAGTTCTAGCCAAGTGGTTGACGGAAAGCAGTACTACTATATATCTGTGTTGACAAGGACAGCAGACGGAGATGAAGGAGGCAAGCACCAGCTTATCACAGCCACCGTGAAAGACGGCAAGCTCTACATTCTAAAGGCTCAAGCCGGAGACAAGAGGTGGTTCAAGGGAGCAAGGAAGTTCGTCGAGAACACTGCATCTTCCTTCAGTGTTGCATAAGAACTTATATGAGAGGGTTTGTATAATGTATATCACCTTAAGATTGTAAGTGCTTCAAAGTTGGTGATAATCGAGGAAATGGTTGAGCATGTATAATTGTTTCGTGGTATTAAAAGAAGGCCCAATTTTCTCTCTGCTTGCTTAATTCACAGAGATTACGACCTCTAACTCAAGCAGTTCAGAGCATTTACCTCAAGCGTTATAGTACATTTGTTCGGTTCTATCGTTTGTATCATTATGAAACTTCATAATGGTATTGCATTTAAACACCAATTGCCATATGGAAACTTACACCATGGAAGAAGAATCTAAAGAGATTCAGAACAGTTCTGAATAAACCAGACAGCAATGCTTTTTCCTCTTAATGCATTAAGTAGGAAGCTTGCATCACAAGAATGCCCCAATCAATTAGGGTTTACCTCTACAGCCAAAAGTACAGGATTTATGATGAATGCAAGTCCTAACTAGCGTATGAAGTCAAATATTTTTCCATGGTATATATCTGATCAAAATCCCGACTACAGGGCACGCTACCGAAGAACGAGTGAGTAATTTGCCCAAGGCAATTTCTCATGCACAGAAGTTCGCAAAACGATTAAAAGAAAACGAATCAAGATAACAAAATGAAATAGTAAATTTATTAATACTTGCTGCACAATCCACATGCTTTGTTTGACGTGAATGTCTGATTTTTCGACGATGATAAAGGTATATACATAAAAGCAATGGTCAGAGAAAGAAATAATAACCAGAGATTAGCTTTTCAAAGTTTTTTTTTTTCATGTTCCTCCATTGCAATAATGGATGCCATTGCTGTGTGCACCCCTGTGTTTTACTGTTTGCTCGCTTAGGCCCCATATTCGAATTGTGCGGTCATCACTGGCAGAGGCGAACATGTGCGGATTTGCTGGATTCCAGCTGACACAATTAACAGCTCCAGAATGGCCCGGCAATGCCTCTATCAGCTCCCCTGAGCTTCTCTGCCATACATAAACCTGCAGAGTGAAACCATCGATTAGCACTCTGAAAGGCAAATAATGAGTAATCTTCAAAGCATTTATGTACAATTCCTCATGTGATGTCCTCTTAATGCCGTTGGTCATGTTGACCTCACCGTACAGTGACAGTCCGAGATGATCCACAACATCTCGCAGTACGCAAAGGCATAAACGAACACATATCCAACAAAAAATAAAAAAATAAACAAATAAACGTCTGCTTTCTTAATTTAGCCTCCATGCCCTGGCACTGAGCAACTAAAGTGGTTCAACCCTCAATGTAAACAATACACACGAAAGTTAAAAAATAAACGAGAAGCCAGTCTCATCTGTCATTAATGAAACTGCATCAACTAAACTACATTAACGATCATATCTTTTACCCACAAAACAGCAGGATAGAATACATATAACTAATAACGGTTTTAAACATGAACATGTATATGGCTCGTAAGTGATATGTCCAGACATGAACCTGATATTAATTATACGACATTGACGTTATTCAAAAAAAACAAAGCAAAAATAATGCTTCAGCATCATTCTTCTAGTTCTGCTTATAAAGTCTATACTAAAATCAAAGAGGGCTCAGGATGTAACAAAATTCTTTACCTGTGAATCCTCACTACCGCTAGCAACAAAAGCTTCTTCAAGTCCACCAAAACAAGACCTGATTACAAATCGGGTGCGTTTGTGACCTTTGTACTTAGCAACAGGCTTGATTTCACCTTCTATGTTCCAGAGATGGATTTCTTGGTTCAGAAGATTAACCAACAAGAACCTATTATCTCTTGATAATGAAAAAGATGTTATAGCTTGATTTTCTTCAATTAATGTCTCAACTTTGGCTTCCCGGTCAAGGAGTAATATAGCATTATCTCTACAAGTGCTTATAAGTTGCTTGCCATCAGTAGTTATTTCCAAATCAGAGATTCTTAAAGTTCGTTGGCCTTTCCAACACTCCAGCTCTTTCCCATCCAACTCCCACATGCAGATACTCTTGTCACTGACACCAGAGAATATACATTTCCCATCTGGAAACCATCCACAGGACACCAAACCAACACCAGGTTTCTCATAAACATGGAGACATTCACCAGAAGAAACATCCCAACGCCGGACAGCCTCCTCCACTCCACAGGTGAGGAGTTGATGGTCATCAGGACTCCATGAAACTGAGGAAACAGGTTTCTGGTGACCAGATAGTCTATGCTTTAAAGTAACCCCACCATTCACATCAACCTATACCCCAACAAGAAGAAGATTAGGGTAAACTTCTCAGATAATAGGATCAAAATAAAAGATGAAGAGAAAACGGTATAACGTTCAATAAGAATTACATGCAGAGTTACCAACCTCATTGTTATTTTCTTTTAAATGTTTTGTATTGCAAGTTGCAACAATATACAACATGCATATGTTAGCCTGGATTTGAGGTTCAGATAGAAATTGAGCATGCCAAGCTCAGCCAAGTACAGCCCATTCAACAGTACGGTGAAATTTGACCATATCTAATGTGTGTACCATATTATTTTCTTCTTTATGCAACTCAACATATCTATGGATCATACGTCATGTATTTATCCCAAATATACATATTCCAACCTCAAAGATTCTCCCAACCAAGATGAGGTTATGCAGGTTATAAACAGAAATAGTTGAACATACAAATCCTTATCTTACAGCCATTAATTGGAAAAGTGTCATCTAAGGCTGCAGATACACACACAATCAATAACAATGTTAGAAAAAAGGAAAGAAATGGTGAAATGAAAACCAATTATATCGCTTATGTTTCATGCACTTGCAAACAATTTAAGTCAGGGCACCACATAATGAGTATATATTTAATATTTCATGAAACAGAAAACAAGCATGCAACAGTGTGAAAAGAGATGGAAGGTCAACATGGAAACTACATGTGAAGAAGGAAGCAGCAGAGAGTGATCAATTTTCTACATAAAACAGCATTTATAGATGCGCGCAGACACAAGATTAAGAGCTAGTTCCATATGATATTAAAGTTACCTCCCATATGATTGCTGATTGATCACTTGATGATGAAGCTAAGTACTTCCCATTGTGTGAAAATTGCAGAAACCAGACTTCGTCTTTGTGTGCCTGTAATATCTGTAAAATCAAAAGTGATAAGAAAGTTATAGAATGAAATAAAAATAACCAATTTGTACAGCCTAATTCAGAGTAGCATGTATAAACGTAAGAGTGGGTAATCAAAAGCATATCTACAACAAAAGCATAACCATGAGAGAGATTAATCTTCATTAACATAACAAGTCATGGAACCAGAAGATAGCAAAAATGTAGGCCAACAGAATAAAAAATCAAGTCAATAAAGATGGAATCAAACATCGATTAAGTGATGCCAGTTACAGAAGCACTTGATACATTGTAAAAAAAACCAGGGGTTGCACGTTCCCGTAAACTTTAAAGGTTGGAGAATGAAACTTGTGCTTTACAGTTTTACCCATGTGCCGATAGAATACACACACATTCTGGTATTGTACACCAATTTTATTCATGGATTATGAAATGCTAAGGATAATACCACATACTTTTTACTGACCCCTCCATTTACCATTTTGAGGTCATACTAATTGGAAGGACTAAAAGAACAAGACTGGAGAAGATTCCTCTAACTTATCAAACAGAAAGGCTAGTCGCTTCTCACGGTCGATAAACCCCTGATGAACCAAGACTGATTAAATCATCTTAGCTTACCCCAGATTGTGATCCATTCACTAATATTACTTAACTTCAAGATATTAAGATGAGATAACTCAGATCAAAATAAAGGAAGAACAAAATTTTCATACACCATATTATATATGACCAAATCAGTAAACTTGATAAGTACACAAAGCTATATTAAAGCTTCAACCAAGTCTTGTTCCAACCTGTAATGTTTGAGAAGGAATTTGCTCTTTCCCACACCGATGATCAGTGTACAATGACATTTCCTCGTTCAAGGTGTTGTGAAAACTGCAAGCATCACGTTGTAAGACAAGGGCCTGCTCAACCAAATGTTCCAACCGTCTGTCAAGTATCATAACTGTTGGGGGAAGCAGTTTCTGCAAGTCCTCCAGTAACTTTGACCGAGACTTGGCCCGCACAATGTTCTTACCAGGAGTCCCACCAAATGAAGGAGAAACTATGCAGGAAGAAAGCTCGCGAACTCTACTACCATTGATGCAGAGAGGCACAATCTCAGTCCTCAATGTCTTCAATGCATCCATGTCTTTTTCTTCATCTAGAAGTTCAAAGAACTTCTGCTCCAATATCATAAAGGAGGCTGATTTAGCAATGTTTTCATCAGATAGGCCAATTTTTTGCAATGTGTCGACACTTCCATCCCAGTTTCCATCCAGAATTTGCTGCATAAAGAGGTTTACCACAGAAGAATGCAACGGTATCCCAGACTCTTCTTCCAAATGAGCACCACTTTTCTTATAGCCAAGAGAATATAGCGCCTTAGCTATTAGTCGAACAAATTCCACCCTCTTAATAACTCCTTTTGAACCAACAACCTGTTCGTCCCCTTCAGATGGTAGGGGCCGAGCCATCAAGTCTCTTGAAGAGCCAGCTACAGGCTCTCCACAAGATGAACCGTTGGAAAGTCCTTTCAATTCTCCAGCGGATAACTTCATGCGTTTTGTTGCTGGTTCTTCATCTCCCACACCTCCCATGAAATGTGCACCTCAGCCCATATATTATTACGACGGTAGAGAACAAGAAGCAGGTATTTTCAAACAGCCAGTTGAAGACAAGAAACAAAATCCTGCATACAGTAAAAAATGGTAATGAACATCTAAAAGCTTCACCCCATCACTCACAGCATCAACATCTCTAAGATGAGTACACAAAAGAAAGAACCCAATCATACAAAATCTAAATTCTGAAATGTAACTTCATGTTATTGTTTCAGCCTTTCCCAACTAAATCATGATTGGATGAAGAATATCAATAATTCCGGTTTACACCACGGAATTCATTCTGATTATCCAGTACATACACAAAAAGACAAAAAGAAATCAAATAGTAAATGATTAAGTTATGAGAAAGAAAATGCCCTTCTACATAGAGCATTAAAAGCCGCTTTACAAGATGAATTGTAACTAGAATCACTAAATATTTTACCGCCAATGACCAAAACTTTACGATTTCAGCAAGTCCATTCAATGACTTCAATGTTGAGTCAAAGATAAAAGCAAAGGAATCATAATTGACTGATCCACATTCTAAGATCGATAATGCACATTAATAATCAAACTATTGGTACCACGAATCGTGAAGAACTTAAAAACAACACACTAAACTGATGATATACCACTTAAGGAAACAGAATCAATCCGATTACAATCCATAATATGCTCAAGAAAAGCTAACATTTACCAAGAAATGTAAAGACAATGTTTTCAACACCTAAAAAAATGACATCTTAGTGATAATAGATCAAAACCCACATCAGAAACAATCAAAATAGCAGAATCCTACTATCTTAGCAATCAAAACAAACCGAAACACGAAATCTGACATCGAAAATTGTGGATATGAAAAAACATATGAACACATAAGAACAAAAACCCATTAAGTTCAGCAAGAAATGAGAACCAACCAAGAGGATTAGAAGCCGTCACAAGAATAACCCAATTAAGAAGCACAAACAAAGCAAAATCCAAGATACCCAGAAACCGATTCGGGGTTTTGGAACCGATTCCGATCAAAAGAAGAAGAACCCAATACAGAAACGCCCTCAGAATTGAAGAAATCAATGATGGGTATGAGGAAGAACAGGAGAGCAAAGCATCCAAAACCAAGACTTGCTTTTCCCCAATTGTCGGCAGATTAAAAGTAATATAGGCGAGAAAGCAGCAGATTAAGGCGATAATTATGCCAAAATTATGTAAAAAAAGAAAGAGCAGATTGCAGATTACAATCAATGGCAAATGGGTTTATGGGATTTGGGGATTTTGAAGGGATGAATAAAGTATATAGATGTACCAGGTACCTTTGTCGTATAACACACTGAGAGTTTCTCTTTTGCGTGGAGGAAACCACCTCAATGGGGTTATATTTTAGAGAGAGAGAGAGAGAGAGATGAGTCTTGCAAGTTCTACTCTGCCTTCACAATCTTCACATTTAGAGGCTTTTCGGCCTAAACTGCAGATTTGATAATAGCTTGGCTGTCGACCACAGTTCAAATTTGGGCCAATGTCATTGTCATTTGCTGTAAGTTGGGCTGGGCTTTCATGTTAACATATCTTTTTTTTTTAAACTTTAACGAAAAACTCCGGGTACTATTTATTTTAATAAAAAACCACATTTTTACACTAAAAATTTAATCTTGGTATTATTCATTTTATCTTTTATTTTGTCATTTTCGTTAAAACTCAAAGTTTTCAAATCATTTTCATTAGTTTTCTTTTTTCTTTTCCCACAATAAACTGACTTTATTAATAATTAAATACAAATTGATACATTAATCTCACTAAACTATATCATATTTGAACGCAATTGTATTTTTTTGGTAGATCAAAAGGTGATATACAGAAGTTACTAGACAACTAAACACTATAGTCTAATAAGCGATTTTAAGTTCGACTCAAGGAATGACGACTTCAATACTCGACTATTATGATTGTCCCATTATATATACATTCACAAAAATCTTCATACCGATTCTATTGCAGAATGTAAAGTCCTGCATCAAAAATCAACTTAATTAGTAATGAACCGTTGGACGATAAAACTTCAACATGAGAAACTAAAGTAATAAATGTTGGAAACTGGAATTATCTTAAACGTAAAAGGATGCTTGAACAAAAGTATTTCACAGTGCTTGAATACTGCAGTTTTTCTCTTCTCATATATCTGAAAACAAAGCTTACAACTGAAATAGAAAATAACAATCTCCACGATAACCACTAGCACAACATGTGCAGATTTTGTGGAGTTCAACTACCTTAAGCAAAGGAAGCACATTTGAACGTGGTGAACAAACTCAACCACAACTCCTACAATCTAGGACTCCAACTTGACTTGGACTCTACATTGCCATGTCAGCTTTATTTAATTAAAAACTAATTAAACATAACTAAATAACTTTCAACACCCTCCCTTAAACTGATTTTTACAAACAAACAAAAAAATAGTTTAAGGTTTCTCTACCATCACATAATCATCTTCTTGATCAATGCTTCGAAATGAACAAACTCCCAATGTGCTCCTCAACTTCTCGAATGCAGGCTGCTTTTAAAGGCTTAGTTAAGATGTCTGCAACCTGCTCCCATTCTTGCAATATTCCAGTTCAATCTTCCCATCTATGCACAGATCACGTAGAAAATGAAAACAAACATCAATGTGTTTACTTCTCCCATGCATGATTGGATTCCTTGATAGCTTGATAGTTGACATATTGTCGCAATAGATGGTCGTTGGTCTATTTTGAACATCACCAAGCATTTTTCTGAGCCACGTGGCTTGATAGGAGCTCGAAACTGCTACTACAAACTCAGCTTCTGTTGAGGAAAGTGTCACAATCTGTTGCATTTTTTAATACCACAATATTGTACCAGAGTTGAGCAGATGTGTGCCCAAAAGTGCTCTTACGATCATTTATATCACCTGCATAATCACTATCTGTGTACCCAACAAAACCAGAACCATCTTCCCTTTTATAAAGCACACCATAATCAATTGTCTTCTTTACATACCTGAGAATTCTCTTTGTTCATTGAGATGCATTTTAGTTGGTTATTCCATATATCGGCTCACTATACTCATTGCATACATGATGTCAAGCCTTGTGGAGGTTAAGTACATGAGACTGCCAATGATTTGTTTGTAAAAAGTACCGTCAACCTTCTTCCCACCTTTGTCTTTGCATAACTTTAAACCAAGTTCAATTGGAGTCCCAAATGGCTTGCAATCATCCATCTAAAACCTTTTAAGAATGTTATGCGCATACTTTTTCTTGTAGATGAAATTACCAGCAGTAGTTTGAATGGCTTCCAATCCAAGAAAATAGTGCATTAATCCCAGATCAATCATTTCAAACTCTTTCATCATAGACTTCTTAAATTCATCAAACATTTTAGCATCATTTTCAATGAATATTAAGTAATCAACATATAAGCACACCATGAGTAGTTTACCTTCTTCATTAGTCTTGACATAAAGAGTGTGCTCGAAGGGACATTTGTGAAATCCAAGCTTAGCAAAGTGGGCATCTATGCGACTGTACCAAGCTTGAGGTGCTTGTTTCAATCCATAGAGTGCTTTCTTTAATGTGAGCACTTTCTCTTCTTCTCTTTTTTTTCTCTCATAACTAGGTGGTTAATCAATGTACACCTCCTCTTGCAGGTTGCCATGTAAGAATGCCGACTTTATGTATAACTAAAAAATTGACCAGAAATTGAACTTTGTCATGCCTTGCAACTGGGGCAAACACATTTTTGTAATCAATGCCATGCTTTTGGTTGTAGCCTTTAGCTACGAAACGAGCTTTGTGCTTGTCAATTTCACATTTTTCGTTCAACTTTGTTCTAAACACCCATTTAACACCAATGGTTTTCTTTCCCCTTGGAAGATTAGTTAACTCTCAAGTTTGATTCTTCTCAGTAGGCTTGATTTCATTCTCCATTACTTCCCTCCATTTCTCCTATTTAACAGCATCATTATACGTGATTGGATCATTGTCTACAAATAATGCAAAGTGAGCATTTTCATCATCAGAACTTAAATAACTTACATTGTAATCCATCATCCATGCTGGCCTCTTCCTTGAGTTCTTATTTCTCAGATTGTATCCCTCTTCTTAAGATTGTTGAGATGACTGAACTTCAGGTTGAGATGGATGTTGGGCTTGAGTTTCAAGAGTTGCAACATCTTCCTTGTCTGAATCATCATCAACTGGAATTTTTTGTTGAGCCGATATGTTCTCAGACCAATTCCACATGGTGTCTTCATCAAATATTACATCCTTACTTACCACTATCTTCTTTGTCACTGAAGTGTATAGTTTTTAAGACTTCACTTACACCAAGAAAAACACATTTTCCACTTTTGTCATCTAACTTCTTTCTTTTCTCATCAGGGATGTGTGCATATGCTATCCACCCAAACACCTTAAAGTGATCAACCGTAGGCTTTAATCCATTCCAAGCTTCTTGAGGAGTCATATTCTTAACATAAAATATGGGACTTCTGTTTAAAATATGAATTGACCATATCATAGCTTCAGGCTAAAACTTCTTGGGAATGCTTCATTTGACTAGCAAACTTCGAACCATGTTGAGAATGGTGCGATTCTTCCTTTCACTTACACTATTTTGTTGTGGTGTATAGGCAGTGGTCAGCTGTCTCTTGATGACTTTCTCTTTGCAAAATGCATCAAACTTCTTTAAATATTACTCTCCTCCATGGTCAATTTTTAGTGTTTTAATCTTCTTGTCTGATTCATTTTCAACTAGAGTTTTTAAGCTTTTGAATACTTCAAATGTTTCTGATTTTTCCTGCAAGAAAAAGACTCATGTCTTCCAACTAAAATCATCAATAAAGGAGATGAAATAATTGGTGCTACCATTTGAGATGGGATTTATTGGTAGATTAGAGTGAACCATCTCCAGGATTGCTTGAGCCTTTGTTGCCTTGCCACTTGGAAAAAAGTCTCTTTGATGATTCTCAGTGATGCATTCTTCAGACACCTTTGATGGAGGAGTTATCTCAAGTACGCTAGTGACCATCCATTTTTTGGTGAAATGTTCTCATGCCTTTAAAGTTCAAATGGCCATATCTGTAGTGCCATCTCCACGGGTCATCTTCTTTGGCAAGCATGCAAACCTGCACAATCTTAATTTTCAAAGGAAACAATTTGTTGGAAGACATTTTTACAACAGTAATGGAGCCTTTTTTTGGATCGTACACTTCACACTCTCCTTTATAGATTGTAATCCTGTAACCTTTATCTTGTAATTGACCGGCACTCAGCAAATTTGTCTTCAAATCATGAATATAAAAAACATTTGAAATAGTTTTAATAAAGTCAATGTTTTATTTTGATTTGAATATCTCCTTTACCCATCATTTTCACTGTGGATTTGTCACCAAAAGTTACCACGATGTGAAAGCTTTCATCCAAATTAATAAAGGAAGACTTACATCTACTCATGTGATTGCTGCAACCCGTGTCCACATACCATGTCTCTTGATTAGTCTCTATCAATGCATGAAAAGCAATCAAAAGTGTCTCTTCCTCCTTTTTCTCCACAAAGTTTGACTTTTCTCCTTTTTCATTTGGTAACTTCATGTAGCACTCATTCTTGTAGTGGCCAAATTGTCCACTCCTATAACACTCCACTTTTGACTTATTAAAGTGGTGCTCATTTTTCTTCAGAGTCGGCATCTTTTTTGAAAATACGAGGTGACTTGTTATCATCTCGATATCCAGATTGTCCACCACCCCGATGGCCTTGACCACCTCTTCTTCTACTTCATCCACCTTTTCCACGACCTCTTCCTCCTCGAGAACTTGATTACTAAGAAACAAGTGGAAGCTTTCAATGCTATTTGTTCTTCACTGGCAGTGGTGCGGTTAAGTCTTTGTTCATGCACTAACAAAGAGCTTTGTAGTTCATCAACTCGTAACTCAGCAACATCCTTTGCCTCTTCAATTGAATAGACAATGTAGTCAAATGTTGGAGTCAATGATCTCATAATATTCTCCACAACTTTGACTTCTTCCAGGGTGCCACCATTGGATCTCATCTTGCTTGCTATTCCCAGAGTTCTAGCAAAGAAATCAGTGATGGACTCACCTGATTTCATTTGTAGAGTTTCAAAGTCCCTTGTTAGAGTTTGAAGCACTACACGCTTCACCCTTTCTGACCCTTCATATTTCTTCTACAAAGAATCCCATATTTGTTTAGAGGTCTCATTCTAGAGTATAGTCTCCAAGATAGTGCCTGAAAAAGGTAGTTTTTCACCTTCAAGTCATTCAGCTTTTGTCCAGCAACCCTTTTTTGTTGTTCAGTTAACACAACTCCCTCTGCTGGGGCATCAATCCCTGATTCCACAAGATTCCAGTACTCATATGACTTGAGGAAATTCTCCATTAGCATGCTCCAATGGTCGTAGTGACCATCAAACCGTGGAATCGTTGGTTGAACAAAACTCTCAGTGGCTTTGTCAGTTACCATTGTTTCTTGCTGCTACAAGACACAATCTTTCACCCTTTTTCTCAAGTTTGTTCAGGCCTAGAAGGGGCTCTGATACCAGATGTTGGAAACTGGAATTATCTTAAACGTAAAAGGATGCCTGAAGAAAAGTATTTCACAATGCTTGAATACTGCACTTTTTCTCTTCTCATATATCTGAAAACAAAGCCTACAACTTAAATAGAAAATAACAATCTCTATGATAACCACTAACACAACATGTGCAGATTTTGTGGAGTTCAACTACCTTAAGCAACAGAAGCAAATTTGAATGTGGTGAACAGACTTAACCACAACTCCTACAATCTAGGACTTCAGCTTGGCTTGGACTCTACATTGCCATGTCAGCTTTATTTAATTAAAAACTAATTAAACATAACTAAATAACTTTCAACAATAAAACACAATATAACTTTCTCAATATGAGTTGTGGATTTCAACTATACGCTCGATGAGATTCATTCTTCATAATCACAATATACACGTTGTTAAAAACATATTTGCACATAAAATAACACGTTTGGATAAATTAGTCAACAATACTCTTATAAATAATGAGATTTTTTTTTTTGGAAACTGGAATATCATAGCTAGGGCTAAGAAGCCAAACATACAGAAAGCTTAAACAAGGCAATTAGCAAGTAGTACAAAGGAAACAAGCTTTGCAGGGAGTTACAAGAAAGACTGACGCGGCACCGCATGCCAAGACGTCACCCCCCACAAAGCCATGAAAACCTAATGTGGACACGGCAAACCGTCGTTGTTTAGACAAAAACCAAAGAGGATGAGGGTCGGTCAACCCACAAAACATTGCACATCTCCTTCAACTTCTGCGACGCTAATAGATCTGCCTCCTTGTCGGCTGATCTTGGAGTCCAATACCAGCAACAGGCCTGAAAGGAATCCCGAAAATTCTTTACTTTCGCCAAAATGGGATACGCCCTCCAGCTGCCATTATCCAAATTATCATTAAAACAAGAAATCGACTCCAGATAATCCGATTCCAAAATGATATAACGAAAATCTTATGAGAAACCCAGGTCATAACCGTGCAAAAGAGTCGTTGCTTCAGCTTGACTAACACACATAGCCATAAAAGCCTGCCTACGAGCTGCCAAAAACTTCCCATCACTATCCCGCGCCACCAATCCACAAACCCCTTGCCCGAAGACGCAACCTGATTAGCGTCCACATTAATTTTTACATAATGAGCAAGTGGCAGGGACCATTGTGTTTCCATCTCCCCGACGATATGAGCTGATGCCCGCTAATCCTTGTCAAATCGATGTGCCTCAAAAAACGCTCCCACAATATTATTTACAACAAAAATTATATGAGCTAGGTTAATAGTGGTATGATTAAAAAGGAAATTGCACATGGCCTTCCATATATTCCAGCATGTGAAAACAACATAGGGCATGAGCCATTGCCTATCCTGGGCAGCCCAACTATCTGAACTGATAAGTGCTTCAAATCAGTGCCTCTAAGATGAAACAGCAACCCTGTCAACCCTATAATTAAGTGCGCCCCCAAACCAAGAGCTTCCACTCAAGGACATTGGAGGAGAAGATGTTTAATGGCTTCATCATTAGCATGACTAGATAGGGCACAACGACGAGTGGGCTAATTTCCTCCGAAACAAATTAGCCATTCTGGGTAGGGCACCATGTATAGACTTCCACACGAAGTGCCTAAGTTTTGGGGGAGTGTTCAACTTCCAAATAGTTTTCCAAACATGAAGAGAGACATAGCTACCATGTGAGATAGGCAAGCCCGCAAGATTAGTCGCCCTTGAATGCTCACAATGGTAACCCGACTTCACCGTAAATCTTCCACGTTTATCATAAGGCCAAACCAGCTTATCTGATTCGGACAAATCCCAAATCTCTATGTCACGAATGGCAACCATCTCTTCTTGAGAAATAAAACCCAACATGAAGTCAATGTCCCATGATTTGGTAATTGTACAGATTAATGTCCCAACGCGGGTATTCCTCGACACCAGAACTCCACCCCTCGGTAACATATGTCCCTCAGGAAGAGAAGGTAGCCATTTATCAACCCAAACTAGAACATCTCTTCCTCTCATGATCCGCCAATGCGTACCGCCCAACAACATATCACGACCCACCAACAAACTAGACCACAACCAAGACACATGACTACCCCTTTTAACATCAAGGAAAGAACAATGGGGAAAATATTTGGCCTTTAAGACTCTAGCCCAAAGGGATGTAGGATGATGGATGATACGCCAACACTGCTTAGTTAGAAGAGCATTATTAAACTCTTCGAAATTTCATAAGCCCAAACCTCCCTGATTCTTTGAAAGACCAAGAGTTTTCTTCCCCACCCAATGAATATTCAACTCCCTACTAGCCTTCTCCCACCAAAAAGCAGAAATCAAAGCATCCAATTCATTACAAACCACCACAGGAAATTTAAATAAATTCATCGAGTAGGCTGGTATGGCTTGCACCACTGCTTTAATCAAAACCTCATCCTCGGGCTGAGATAATGTACATCTTTTCCACCCCTGAAGTTTCCCCATAATTCTATCATTGATATAAGCCAACCCTTGCCGCTTAGAACGTCCCCAAACTGCAGGAACCCCCAAATAGGTATTAGGATCAGATATAGAGTTCATATCAAAAATCGCCCCCAACTCCACCGAGGCATCCGTGGAAATATTAGAACTGAAAAACAAATTAGATTTCTGAATGTTTACCGTTTGTCCAGATGCTGAGCAATATTCATTCAGGAGCTGAACAAGATTTGTACAATTTTTCTTATCAGCCTTAAAAAAGATTAGCGTATCGTTAGCAAAGAAAAGGTGCATAATCCAAATATCTCTTATCCACTGCTGATTGGATCATACGAGATAACACCTCACTAACCAAAAGAAATAAGTAAAGGGTTAAAGGGTCTCCTTGCCGAATACCCCAATAGGGAGCAAACTTGTCTCCAGGTTGCCCATTGAGAATGACAGCGAAACTGACGGTACAAATACAACTCATAACAATCCTCCTCCACCCAATACTAAACCCCATTTTCTCCATTACAGCTTCAAGGAAGTCCCACTCTACCCGATCGTAGGCTTTGTGCATGTCCAGTTTTACACCAAGCTCAAACTTTCCTTTAGCTTTCCGAAGCTTAAGGAAATGAAATATCTTATGTGCTATTCCGATGCTATCTTGTATTTGTCAACCCGTCACAAACGCATTTTGCATAGGAGAGATCAGATTCGGCACTATAGGCTTTTAACCTGTTCGCCAATACTTTGGATGGAATTTTGTAGGAGAAGTTGCACAAACTGATCGGTCGGAACTGCGACACAATTGAACTTAAGAGCTCGGTAAAATGCAGCCTAAGCTAAAGTCATAGCCAAAATGAAGGGTTAGCGCAACGCGCCTCCCGCTCTTGTAAATCAAAGCATAAAAAAAGTAGATGCCGAGCAAGGTATTAAATATCGATGATATCGGAAATATCGGCAGTCCAAAAATACGGAAATTTCCATGGAAATATCGGGATATTATTGATATCGATAAAAATTGAATAAAAACCACGGAAATTGTAAGAAAAACTTAGAAATTTTTATTGAAACTTTGCAGGATGTTTATTTAGTCAATTATCTATTAGTTTATCACAAAAAATTGGAAGGAAGTGCATTGCATGATAGATATAACTGATTTAAGTTGATTATATAGCGAGCTGACAAACATTGTGAGTGTAGAAAATATGTAGTAATTAATGAAAGAAGTTTAAACACATCATAATCATTTATATATAATGAATTAGTACAATATTTTACACTTTATACATTGTATGGTAAGATACATGAGTGACTTAGCAAGGTCTAAAATATCGATGATATCGGAAATATCGGTAGTCCAAAAAAATATCGGTAATCCAAAAATACAGACGTTTCAATGAAAATATCGGGATATTATAGATATTTTAGACGATGATGCGGAGGAAGGCAAAAACACAACTAACTAAACGAAACACAGAGCCCAACTTAAAACACCGCCATTCGGAACCAGCAGCAGTCGCCAACTATTCAGGGCAGAGCCAGACGCCGATACCCCAATCTTCCACAACTCCACCGACTCTCTCGCTCTCTCTTTCTCTCTCTCTCTCCCCCTCTCTCTCTCTCTGTCAATCTTCTTCTTCTTCTTCCTCGAGCCTTTGCATTTCTCTGGGTGCCAAAACTTAGACCCAGAGTCGGAATTTAACGAGCAGGGAAGCAAAAAGAAGAGGGCCGGGGTTGAAGGAAGTGAGAGAGATGGCGAAGAAGAAGAAGAAACATTCTCAGGTTGATGAACCCACAAAAACCGATTGCTTAATGCACTTCAGAGGTTCAACGCTTCAACTGATGAAGGTAAAGTTTTATTTTTTTATTAACATTAAGTTCCTGGGTTAATCTGCGTGCTAATCAATTTTTGCGATTGATTGCGTTTTAAACCATGTTCGCATCCGTTTCTTGCTGGGTTTTTGTGATTCAAAAATACCCAGTTTTTAATTTTGTTTTATTTTTTGAAATTAGGGTGCTTTTGATGTTTGTATGAATGCTTTTTTTATTTATTTTTGAGTAATATGGGAATCTGCTTGCAGTTTACACATTCGAGGCCGGTCTCTCGAGCTTTGAACGAGCTTAAGTGCATGAACAATGCAGGAGATGGAGTATGAAATCCAAGATTAAGGGTGAGTGTGCTTGTAGCTATGCCCTCTGTGATTGTGCCAAAATGTGGTTTATTTCAATTTGAGAGAATCTTACGTGCTCACATATTTTCGGGAACTGAAAGAAAAGAGAAAATTTTCAGCCTTGTTATCTGCACAGCTAGCCCTTTGGCCCTTTTCTACTTGTTTTACTGATAATGAACCTGAACTCTGTATAGGAAAGCGGAACAGCGGTGTATCTCCGTTAACAAAGTTAGAAAGAAGAACAGTGATGTACCAAGTGTCACTCGCTTGACATTTTCCGAAGGCACAAAAGAGGTATTAAGTGACTTGTTCGTACGTTACCCACCCCGTGCTCAAGTGGAGGACTTAGAAGTGTCTGGGAAAAGTAGTGATAAGAATGAGAGTGCCCAGATGGAAGAGGGACACAACGTTTCGCAAGCCTTCGATGAACAAGGAAGAAATTGCAAAGAAAGTGGCATCACTTGCTTCTAAAATAAAGAACAACGTTGACTTGAGAAAGGTTCTTCTGATCTCACTGATGTTGTACCCATATTATCATTCTACACAAATTTGAAGTCATATTTTTCAAAATAGTAGTCTCAGCATGACAAGGTTTTTGTGGCTTTATGCATGCAGATTTTTTAAGACAAGTCCAAGCTTCCAATTATATCCTACAAGGATGTCATTACATCGACAGTTGAATCTCACTACTTGGTGCTTTAAAAGTTATTAGCGATTTGTAACAAATAAAAGTTAGCAGCTATGATCACATTAAGCATGACATTACTTTGACATTCCCTACTTTAAGTTAAATATGTGATAGTACCTTACCAGAACATGATTGGGTCTGTTACTGTTTACTAGAATCTCTGTTTTGCCTATGTCATTTAACCTTCATTTGACTTGAATGTATTTCGTACATAACATTTTGGGGCTTAATGTTTGTTCTATGTTTGAAAACAGGTCATTCTTGTATCTGGTGAGACTGGGTGCGGAAAGACAACACAGGTTACGAAATCTTTGCTTTGTCTTCTTTATGGTATATTTATCACAATGTGTCCTGAATCTTTATTTCAAAGGAATTTCATTCATATCTTTTTCTTTCTATTTAGGCCACTCTCACAAATTTCTCTGCGTTTTAGCAATGATCTGCAATGAAGTGTTTAGTTGTTTTAGAGCTGCATTTGTTCATTTACTTTTTAGTAGGATTTCTGTTGAAATCACTGAGGGAGTTAGAAAGATTGGAGAAAAATTGATAGATAAGAAAAGCAACTTAGAACTTGATAAGTAAGGATGTTTTACCTAAGAGTTGTTGGTCTAGCAGTCAGGTCCTTGGTTTGCTCCTAAGTGGTCTGGGATTTGACCCTCTCCCATGGTACCCACGTAGCAAATGCTAGAGTTTCTCGCTTCCCAAATGTTGTGGGTGAGGCGGAGGGCCAAGTGATTAGTCGGGTTAAAGACTCGGATACACTAGTTTCAAAAAAGAAAAAAAAAATGTAAGGATGTTTTACTGTCTTAAGGCATTTGTGGAGTGCGTGTACTGCTCTTGCAAGAAAACCCTATTTGGTTGGTAAGTTGCTCATAGAATAGTGGGATTTATCTTCGGTCATGAATTTGGAGGCAGATTTAGCTGGTTTAGTGCACTTGAGGAACATGAACAACACTGTTAGCAGGATACTTATGAACTTTCAATATCTGTTAAATGAATATGGAGTATCTAGCTAACATTAATTGGGTATTGAACCTATTGCTTTTGAAAGCTTGATGTTTCGATACAAGGGGTGTTGCGTGTTTGATATAAGTCTTGATGAATGATACATGTTGGCTAATTGACACTAAGCCTTCTATTCAGTGGTTAAAATAAAATCCATAAAATAAAAAAGAAATCTCTTGGTGTTTGTCTGGATGAGCCATAGTGATGACAAAACAATGTAAGCCAGTAGGGGTTGCTTGTTAGAACTATGGGGAGATTTGTAGTCTAAAGGTCTTAAATTGAGTAGGACAAAAGTTTGTTAATTGTAGTTAGGATTACAATAGGATTAAAACGGCTCACTTTTAATGTTACAGCCTAGATACTTCTAAACTCGCACTTCTAATATTGTGGCTAATGAATTATAATGTTACATGAAAATCTGAAACATACAAGTAGAGTTTGTTGGATAAAGGGAAGACGGCTAGGTAGGTTGTTTTGTGATCAAGGAAACACTTGCATGGAGGTGAGTTTTATCCTTTCGAAAAAAAACTGAATCCTAAAATAAAAAACGTAAAAATCAGACTTAAGGGTCTTTCCATGCCCAAGAGCATGGAGGCCCATGACTTTAGCCTAAACAGTATGTGAGTCACTCACTTATAAAAGGGACTTTCAAAAGATGTATGGGCGATGTGGGATTCTCAGTCCCTCACAAGTTCCAACATAGGAGACCATATATTTCTCTTTTTATTGAATATGGTCAAATTTTTGTGGTTATCTTCCTCTTTCAACAACCTACTTCTTGGATTATCTAAAGTGCACACGTGGAATGTTGCAACAAATTGGGAATAAAAAATGTTTTACCTACCCTAAATATTCTTTAGGCAACGACAAACTTATCACATGTTGAAAGAAAGAGAGGAGTTAGTGAAAACGATAGGAGCCAACTGGCAATCTTGCTTATTCACTATAAATAAACAAAACCGAAAACGCAACATTAACTTTATCACCAGGTATTCCAGTCATACAGCTCTATCCGAAAAGAAACCAATAAGATTAGGATAACCTTAGTGACTAAGCTTTGTCCCCATTAGAGTCCATAGCAAAATAAAAACAACCCCAATCATGCAGTATTTGCATCCCCTTGGAGATGGCAAGGGTAGAAGATAAAGGAGGTGGAATTCCAATGTTAGTTGCAATGAAAGGCCACCCGGGCACAGGAAAATCCACCCTGGCCCACTCCTTATCCTCCACCCTCAAATTCCCTGTCATCGACAAAGACGACGTGCGCGACAAGCTCCAAGCTCTCCAGTCCCACCCCGCCGCCGCTTCCTCCCTGCTCAACGACACGTCCTACAGCGTCGTCTGGCAAATCGCGTCCACGCAGCTCCGCCTGGGCCTCAGCGTCATCGTCGACTCGCCCCTCTCCCGTAGAGCCCACCTCGAGCACCTGACCCAGCTGGCGTCGTCGTGCGGGGCCCGCGTGCTGGTCGTGGAGTGCAAGCCTAAGGACGAGGCTGAGTGGCGCCGGAGGCTCGAGCGCCGCGCTGCGGCTGAGGGTGGAGCCGGATGGCACAAGCCGTCCACGTGGGGGGATATGGTGAGGCTGTTGGATGGGTACGGCGGGTGCACGGAATATGATGTGGGCGATGTTCCGAAGGTGGTTGTGGATACGACGGCGGCTGTTGGATTTGAGGAGATTGTATCCAATGTGGTCGAGTTCATTGAAACGCACAGTGGTCAGCCCATGGCATCTGAACACGAAGGATAAAACTTATGAATTGGAATAACAATTAGGCTAAACAAATAATGTGGAAATCCAAAGTACAAATTATATAGGAAACTTCTGAGATCTGAAAATATTGTCATATAATTAATCAAGCTCTTTTCTCTCTCCTTTTTATGCCGATTTTCTTATCATCTCTCCTTTTAAATTTATGTCACATTATCAGAACGCTCTTAAAGCTGAGTTAAAGAGAGTTTGACCATCTTCAATCAAAGGAGTATTATGTTTCAATCATAAGGGTTTTTGTCATGAATGGTCTAACTCATCCTTTTGGTCCCATAATTTCCAAATCGATAAATTTGGTCCCTGAAATGTAGTGCCGCACATCAACGTGCTCCTTCCGTCAATAATTCGTCAAATTCTTCATTAAAACTACACGTGACGACTCTTGTGGCCTTTTGGTGGAGGGCTTTACCTTTCCCCCAATACTGTTTTCCTCTCTAGTTAGAGAGATTTTAAAAAGCTAGGGTTTGGCAAATTGGGGATTTTGGCAAGAGATAATCAATTCTCCTTAGATTAGGACTCTCAAATTTAGAAATTTGTGGGGAATCATTGAACTTTGGTGGATTGTGAGTAAATTTTGTTGAATTGTGAGCATGTCTTAGAAATTCCGCAAATCTGGAAAACCTCCAAAATATGGTGAGTATTATTTATCTTCTTTCCATGATTTATTTATACTTTTGATGGTCCCAATAGTCCTTAATATTTTTTATATGTGGTGGTGGGGTTTGTGTAGTTTGAGATGGTGTGGGGTTAGTGTTGGTGGTGAATATGTTTATATATGTGGTCTTGTTTCCTTTCTTTTGTCATTTTGCATTAAAGATTGCATAGTTTTATTGATATGGAGTTTGGTTGTTGTGTATTTTTATTGTTTTAGTTTTCATTGTATGGCATAGATTTAGGGTTTTGACTGTAAAATGTGGCAAAAGTAATTGACTTAGATTTAGAGAATAAAAAACTAATTGACGATTTGCTTTACTAATGTATTAATCAATCTGTTGCAGCTAATACTGATAAATTCACATATAACAATTATCACGAAGGTCAGGTTCTTAAGAAGGGAAATAAGGAACACTACATTAGAGGTGGTTATATTCTTAGATTGGGTTCTTGGTGACTTCCAATCCTTGGTAAAGTGTCACGATATAGCAAAGAAACTGGTATAAGGTGAAGTTGAGCCACCATAAAATGTTGCATGTGGGTACGTTTGAAGAAATAGCATGTGATGCACAAGTGACAGATTTAATCGAGGACATGCCAAATGATAAGGTAGTTGAATTATATGTGATTGACAAGAATGTGAAGGCAATTAGTAAAAGTGACAAGGGTGCTGCTTCAAGTAATGGAGATAAAGGCAACAAATTACAAAGTGAAAGTGACAAGAGTCAAGCTTCAACAAATGCGGAGAAGGCAAACAAAATGGTACCTGCAAATGTGTTAATTGATGTAGGTGTGGTGCAAGAGTTTGAGATAACATAATCTTTAAGTTAGGATGACAGATTTCATGAATTTTGGCAAGATGGGGAATTCACAATAGAAAATCAAGGAGAAAAAGAAGATTCTGCAACAAAAACTTAGGGAAAAAATAGGGATGATGAAGATGTTGAGGGAGATGAAAGTGAACAACCTAAAATGTGGAGGAAATAATCAAAATAGTGATTATGACCAGGATTCAGATCAGGAAATTGAACATGCACACGAGAATGTGTTAGAAGATGATTTGTTTGAAAAACAGGTAGACAACCCAATTGATTTTCCTTATTAACACTAAGATTTGTCAATTGTAGCATATGAAAATAAAGGTCTTTCCCGCAGAAGATTGTTTTATCTAACTACTTAAAATGTCACAAAAACTGGTTGTTGTCCCTACTGACCAGCCATTGAAAAATAATTATTAGACTGACTTACACTAATCTAAAGTCTACGAAATTTTATAAGCAAACACTAGACACACAGAGCTACACTTCTACAAATATTTGGGATTTTTGGATTAGATTTGATATTTAAATTAAATCAAACAAAAACAGGACAGAAACAAATTTTAAATAGTTCATAAATTAAGAAAAACGAGTTAGGGGAATTGCTATCCACCACCAAATAATCATGCAAACATGTTATGTTTCATTCAAATTCCTTTTATTTCCGGATGAAGATGCTCAAGTTGGCTCAATGTTAGAACTCAACCTATTACTTTGTATTACGTAGTATGTTAAGAGAATGGCGTTTTCAACTTAACTTAGTCCCTAGCATGCAATTTAGAATGGCGTGTTTATAGATTTAACAAGTATGAATCATTAAGAACGAAAAGAGTTTGAGTCATCACAAGGCATCGTTAGTACTGGGGTTGTCTTACTTATCCGAGAAATTGGTTCACATGTTAATCGCAATTAACAAGTACTACTCTAGAACATATGTAGGTCCTCATTCTATAAGGGCAGGCACACACATATTCATAGCATTAGAATCCTAGATATGTTTACTACGTATGCATCCATAGAAAACAAATAAAGAATTCATCAATGAGACAAGTAGTGAACCAATTTTCATCCATTCATAAAAGTAATTCAAACGAAATGTCATAACAAACTTGCAATCATATTCGGGGCTTCAAAACAGCCCATAACTACTAAAAAATTAGTTACACACAATCCTTAAATAAAAACAAAAGATAGACATGAGTTTGAGAAGATAGAACCGAAAGAAATCGACTAAGGCCTCCTCCTCTCTTCCTTCCTTCCCCAATGCTGCTTTTAAACCAATTCTTGTTGCATCATTTTCTTCTCCTTAACTCACCCACTAATAGCCATTTAGTGATGACAATAAGTGAGAGGAAATGTGGTAAAACAATTGTAACACTTTAGGTAGCCTTTATGCCAATTACTCCCTCTTAATCCTCATTTTTATTTCCATTTCCTCTGATATTTGAATAGGTGTCAGCTGACTTGTTCTTGGCTGCATCAGTTTTGGCTGCTAGATTTATTGGGTTTATTGCTTTCATTGCAGTTACAAACTGCCCAGTCTCTTGTGAACCTTTCAGTGTTAAAACGGCCATAACTTCTTCTACGAAAATGATATTAACAATCCGCGAAATGCTCCAGACAATAGACATCCGTAGCTTTCCAAGCATATAAGGATCATTCTCTAATTCATTTTGAGCTGTTCGCAACTTGCTTCCAAAGTCAGCTGATTTGCACAGGCAGTTTTGACGAATTTGTTACTAAAAATCCTACTTGTGCTATTTTTCTTTTATTTGCTTGACAAATCCCACAAAACACAAAAACAAAGTAAATAGCTCAAAAATATAAGGAACTAACTAAGAAAAGAGAAGTGAATTTGATGTAAAATATATATAAATATGAGCTTATTAGTTTGCTGGGGAAATTTCAGATAATGAAGCCATTTCTTGGACCTTTCTTGGACCTTTATAGCTTGGAAGCCCACACTTATGAGGAAGAAGATGGTGCTGAGGTGTCTAGCAAAAAGAAGAGGAAGAAACCTATGCCTAAGGTTAAATAATGGCATACAACTACATATTTGAAGAATCCTGATATTTGCATGGGTATGTTGTTTTCTAATAAACAACAGTTCAAGAAGGCAATAGTATACTATACTATGAAGAATGAGCGAAAAGTTGCATCTGTTCAAGGAGGCAATAATACCTTGTCCAACATGCTCACTGATCTTTATAGGCAAACTATTTAGCCCAGATACTAAGATCATTAATAGGCAAGTTAATTAATCGCCTACGATCCTTACAGATCCTCCATTTTGTTCACAGCAGATTCAAGGGAATATTTGCGAACTAATCCAACCAAAATACGAACCATTTAATTATCTTCTAGTTTGGGTTGACGTATCGACACATTGGTTATATGTTTGTCCACACCCAATGCTGCTTTGCTAGACTCTTGGCACCAATTATTTGGTTGCAGGCTCACCACCCCTACTATCATAAAGTCCAGAAGACTGACATTACAATTGATAACTAGGTACAAGCATAAAGTTTTGTACTTATGGGTTTTGGGTGTACATTTATGTGTCAAATGCGCCATATCAATGTACCAATACAAGTCCTTACAAAAGGTGAGTCAATGTCAATTATGATTCCCCTAAGCCCTTGCAAGCAATCTTTTTACCTCTCAGTTAGCGGATAGTCATTTCAATGAGACAGTCTTCCCGTCGTTAGGAAGAGATAAGAACGTAAACTTTCTTGAAGAACAAAGCGAATTATCGTGGACATCCCCACTGTGTCTCATCCCAATCCCTATTCTAGATTTACATAATGCTACTAGACGTTTTCTCTGATCTAGTGATAGTGACAAGATCACATATACCAATAGGAAACATGCTTGCAATGATGAATTTCTTTAACAAATGTCTTTTTGTTCCCCAGAATGGAGGACGTCCGTACGTCTTTTTGTTCCCTAGAAGAGAGGACGTCACGATGCTACTAAGTGTGTGAGGAGATTCCTAGCACCTATTGGTCAATCCTAGTACATTGGCAGCTAGCCAATCAATCTGTCATCCGGTGGAAGTGCAACAAATCACTCGGTTCAAATAATTCACCTACTTAGAAGTAGAGGAACATGGCACAAAAAAACTCATTCCTCAATCGTTGTATTAATCATTTCCATCTCATGAGATTAATCTAGATTACTCCCGAGACTTGAAGTTCTTGGTTCAATATACTAGTTTGGTGAGATATGGAATTGAAATAAGATTATCATCGGTGATGTTTCACTTATATTGTATCTACCGACATAAACGAAAATCAACGATATCGAACCGCTTTTCGTTGATTAGTGACAACGTGGAACTGATTGGTCAACTAGAAATAAACAATCCATGTCGAATAAGAGGATTGAAATAGTGCGATATAATGTCGCCTTATGGCACAAGACTTATCTCATATGCCTTGAATTGATTGCAGCACTATAAATGTGGTTATAACATATCTCTAGGATCCTGATACGAAATCCACATATACGATTCTAGAAGAATTACATATACTGGTTCAAATAGTTATAGGCCCCAAGACACCTTCTCAATTTAGATGAGGCTTTCACTTTATGGATGCAAAACAATATAGTCGAATGTGGTATACCCGTTTAAGTAAATGTTGATCAGTTAGGGAGATATGCCCCTGCGTGTACAAAATTAAAAATTGCTAGAGTTGTAGTTTATGTCGATGACATACTATCTCGCACCTGAAGTTGGAATTTGAGATAAAAGATCTTGGAAAAATTCGACACTATCTCGGCTTGAAGTCCAACTACACCAAATGGTGTTGCTAAGTATACCCCTGATTGTCCATACGTTACATGCAAATGAGACCTTGGAGATTCCATATATAAGTGTAATTAGCGTTTATTGTACTTAACTTAGAGCATTAGATTAGACATCTCAAGTGTTGATAATCTTTTGATAAAAAGGTAGCACTACGCCTTCATGCCACCACCAAATTGGTGTTAAAAGACCTTTTTTAGCTATCCTAAAAATACTACGGAATTGCGCTTATCCCTACGCATCCTGAGCATAATCAACCCCTTTGATCATCAGAATGATACTTGCCTTACTTTTTATGTTAACGTTGGTTGTTTATCAAACTCGCACAAGGCACATTCCCAAATGGTCATGTATTTACCGTTAAGGAACACGTCAATATCTTGGAGATAAACCAAATAGACCTTAGTTGTGATGTCTTCAAGCTTGCACCATATACCACGCAACATGAATAGAGGAACATCTTCGAAGCACCTGCAATTTTCATCCTTGGTTGAGTCCCATTCAAGAACTAAGAAGTCAACACCAAACTTATTGTGTCTACATCAGTATGAGCATCAGAAGATTGAAGTCAAGCAATCCGATCCCGGACAACCTTGTCGATTTCTACATGAAGTCGCTACCAAAGCTTACTTTCCAGAAGCTTGTCTGAGTAATTGTATGTGTAACTATCTCATTAGTAATGCTTGTAGTTCTCATTTGGAAGTTTTGTCAAACTCAAGGGAGTATCCAGAAGTATACTCACTTGATCTTAATGTACTCTTTTCCCCTACGATTAGGAGTATTTTTCCCACTGAGTTTTTGCTACATGACTAGGTTTTGACAAGACACCCGTCTTGGATTGGTCATACCATTGGGAGCGCTCTACTTGTATCCACAAGATGTATAGTTTTGATTTAATGCAACTTCTCACTTTTCTCTTCAGACTATGAGTGTTTATCCCATCTTGGGTTTTACCATAGCAAGGTTTTGTGAGTATTACTACCTATGCATTCTTCCATTTGTTTTGATACTCGCATTCACTACTTGTGCCAACTAGACGAGACAATTTCATATGTTTCTACATTTACCTAAGGATCTTATGCTATATCTACTTGAGTATTTGCACACTCAATGGGGAGTATTGTGAATATATATCAAGCACATGTGTGGTTGTGTAAATCATTAGTCGATTGTATTTAGGATAGTAGAAGATTATTCCCTTTCTGGGTATATTACTTCAAGGCAAGAAATCCTCATTGGTTTACTATATATATGGGCACAAGGTCTGAGGAATAACACACATAATTCTTCAAGCCGATTCTCCATCTCTCTTTCTATCTATGACACACCCTCTATTTTTCTCAAACAAAAATAGGTCATGGTATTCAATATTTCATGATTGTTAACCAAACATAAGAATAAAATAATAGCCGCCTCATAAATGATTAATTTATATATATAATTCTATTCTGATTTATTCAATCGCTAATAAAATTACGAAGAGTATTGGAGAAAAATAAAAGAAAGTGAAAATGTTTCAAGTAAAATAAGGCCAATGTCATCCCAAACCAATGTCACAACATAAGAGTATCCTCAGTGAGGGGTTGTATATGGGGCTGGAAAAGTGGTGGATATAGATCATTTTAGAGCTCTGAGGAATCTTTGGGGCTTTATAAAAGAATCTCTCCTAACGAGGGGCTATTTCTTTCGGGCTTTGTATAGGGCTATATATATTTATTTATGTCGATAACTTTTTTTTTTGTGGTAACTTTTCTTATGTTGAATTTTGGACGTGATATCTTTTTCTTTTCTTTTTTTAAATTTTTTTTTTGTGAACCTTTCAACCTAAAGAAGTTCAAATTGTGACAAAGTTAGATTTCATCACTTATGGACCGTTTGTTGGATTAGATTCTCTTATCTTAATCTCATTCATTGAAATATTCAAACCCTCACTTCGCCTTATAAAATAATTTGATTTTCAGGTACATCACAACAATTTACCTAGCACCAATTGGTAAATTAATATAATACAATTTTGAAAAAAAAATTATTTGAAAATTTCACCCACCAATGCCTATGAACGTTAAATTAATTTAAAATTTTAATTCTTATGGAATTTAAAACAATCATTAATTAGCCAAATTGCAAGAAAATATGTAAGGAAAAGAATTATAAAAAAAAAGAATAAAAGGAGAATATAAGTGTATCCGAGAGAGTGATATAATTTTAATTACATGGGTTGTCACCTTTTTTGTGATGATTGGAGTCACTAAATAGAGATGCTCTAAGAAAGTAGTACGTAATATCTATTTTTAACCAAAAATGATTGTAGCCGCCTTGCCGGTAATGATGATGGTCATGTGTTCCCACGATGGTCATGTGTTCCCACGTCTGGGGAACTCAGTCCACCGATCTGGGTCTGCCTCCCTCCCTTCTTGCGTTACACCCCACAAACCCAAAGAAAAAAGGAGGGAAAATTCTTAATCTCTTGATTAATCACTATTTTATTCTTAATATAGTCTGAACATATTAATCTTAATTATTGATGTAAAATATATGGTGCTGAGTATGCAGAAAATGTGTTTACATTAAATTCTGTTGTTAACAATACCCATTGTGTTGAATGTTTGTCTTGTTACTTCCAGTCAACCGTTTGCTCTGACCGGTTGCCTTCACAGTTCACAGCCACTTCCTTGTTTGCTTTCAGAGAGAGAGGGAGACAGGGAGGGACAGAGAGAGAAAGAGAGGAGAGAGATAGAGAGAGACAAAGAGAGAGAGAGAGAGAGAGAGAGAGAGAGTGGGGCTTTTATGCCCTATTCCTTCAAAATCTCATTGAATTTCAGGGCATCATCTTGAAAGCCCGAAGCTTTTTTTGGTCAAGTCTGAGGTCTTTCAAGCTCTTTGTCAAAAGGGTGTCCTTGTTTGCAATCTTAATCCATTTTTCTCTGAAATTTTCTCAAAATTTTTCGGGGTTTTGAATTTTTTACTCATATTTTTGTTCACTATTGAAAGTTAGACGCTTTAGATTTGATGGGTTATGAAGCTCAAGCCCATATTTCTCTGCCTGGATATGGAGGATTCATTGTCTCCAACTGGGTGCCTAGCTTTCTGTATAATTAAAAATTAATCCTTTTGCTTATTATTATTTTTTTTTTTGGATTTTGATCAATGTTTCCGCAACTGGGTAATTCCTGGAATTAAGTTTGGACTTTTTGAGAAATTGGGTAATTTTGGTTCAGAATATTTCTCGCTTTTGATAGTTCTGAGCAATTTTACTGTGTTTGGAGAAATCGGGTACTTTTTGATATGATTTCTCCGTAGGATTGTGCAGTTTGCGCAGGAGAATCAACCCGATTTCGGGTTCTCTTAATAGGGTGGTTTTGGGGGTTGTTGGATCATTTATTCATAGCATTTGTTAAGCTTAGACAGAACTGCATAGATTTTGGAAGCCATGGATAACGTCAATGAACTGTCATCATCCCTGAGCTTTTCCTCCTCCTCCTCCTATCTGTCAAATGGGTCCAGTAGTAACCATGTATCTGCCTCTGCCTCGGCCAGTTCTCAAAGTATTGAACATTATTTGAGTCTAAGCAAACTGAGTGATAATCTTGAGAGACTGTTACTTGATCATGAGTATGACTATAGTGATGCTGAGATTGTTGTTGAGAGAAACACCGTGGGTGTCAATCGGTGTATATTGGCTTCCCGGAGTCAGTTTTTTCAGTACCTTTTTAGGAAGGGGAGTGATGATGCGAAGACGGAAGGTAAACCGAGGTATCTCATGTCTGAATTGGTTCCAAACGGCAGGGTTGGCCACGAAGCCTTCAAGGTTTTCTTGAGCTATTTGTACACTGGGAAGCTTAATCCATCTTCTGGAGAAGTATCCACGTGTGTTGATGATCGTTGTCCGCATGATGCGTGCGGCCCTGCTATCAGTTACGCTGTGGAATTGATGTATGCTTCTTCCACTTTCCAGATGAAGGAGCTTGTTCAGCTTGTTCAGGTTTGTTCAAACTTTGACTTCTTGTGTTGCTCTTTTGCGAATGATTGTGTGCCGTGCAGGGTAATTGTTTGTGTTCTCTCTTTGTCGACTTGCAATTTGTTGCAGACTCTTTATACTTACAGCCTGAAAACTTTGCAGACTCTTTATAATTGATCAAGGCCCGGTCGAAACCTAGAAAATCAGAAAAGGGCATTTTCTAACTTGATACAGTTTATGAAGACCACTTGCTTGCCTACCCAAGGGTCAAGTGGTATAGACTGACCAGCTACACAGCCCATAAAGTACTTTATGGTGGCATTACATGTAAAATAGCTGATGAGTCATCACCCTCAAACCGCATTCGGGCAAGGCTGCTGCTACAAGAGGCCAAACCGAGTTGACTATAAAAGGAGAAAGAGAAGCCATGAATAATGACACTCAATCAAACAAACAAATGCAAGCACAAACTCTTCTCAAAGCCAGATTTGCCTTCAAAACGAAGCTGTAGTCAGCCCAAGCCTTCATCCCTCTCGGGACAAGCTTTTATCCCTCGCGGGATAACCTTTCCTTCAAACCTTTGTAATAGCTCTGCTACCCTGCCCAAACTTGGTGTAGTATCGATTCACTTTTTGTATCTCTCTCTCTCCCTCTCTTTCTCTAAGCTTTCAGACCTTTGACAAAACTACAAAGATAGGGACCTGCAAGACGATCAGCCTTAACTGATAAGGTTTAACCTTGCCCGACCTTCTTTGTTTTGTTTTTGTCTTTTCATTCTTTAAAGCCTAGTAATATGTTGTATACTTCCAATTATATGCAAGTTATTTCTAGCGAGGACTATTAAAACGCTTTCTCAGTATTTGGATCCGATTTGAATATATCTTCAGTGTTCAAACTAGATCCAAAGTCCTAAGCCCTCGGGCGTGTAAATCTGATCAATTAAAAGTCCTTGGTCTCAAGGCATAAAAAAGAACTTTATGTGGACTTAACCCATCCATGACAGTCCTTGATAAACGAGAAGTCCGAAGTTACTTGGGGCGCAAGTAATCGACCTACCTCTTTGTTTTGTTTCTATTATATTATGATTATCGTAGAACACTTAAGCATGGAATGAATTCTGATGGGAAGCCTCAAGGCCTACACCTAAGGCCCCACGAAGGCACCTATTTGGATTCATTCCGTCTTGCGATCTAGAATGTTTGAGTATTAGAACGAACTCCAATGGGAAGCCTCAAGGCCTACACCTAAGGCCCCACAAAGGCACTTATTTGGGTTCGTCCTACCTCTCAAACTCGGGTAATCAGAAGTATAATAGTTATAAGACTCCTGCAATCACGAGACCAAATATGATGTGTTCGAGCACTGGTTTAGTTTGATAGGAAGCCTCAAGGCCTATACCTAAGGCCCCACAAAGGCACCTGTCACATCTAACACGGCTTCTCGGGTATATACATATTTACAACGAAAACGCGACATGCATTCTACATCTGCCATACTACAGATGGCAGTGGCACGCCTGAGCACCTCAAAGTTAATCTTGATTGTGAGTCTCAAGGCCTACAACTAAGGCCCCACAAAGGCACCTTTCAAATTAACTATGTCATTCTCTTTCAGCCTTGCCCGACGAGCCTTGCCCGACGAGACTTGCCCGATAAAGACTTGCCCGACCAAGCCCGATAGTGAAATAGAAGCCCGACAGCAGCCCTCAACCGGCGACAACCTCCCGGGGAGCTGTGTGCTCGTCGGCCAGGAACCATCCCCGACGGAAATTCCTGACACGAACAAGAGTAATATAATTTTGATCACATGAGTTGTTACTTTTTTGTGATGATTGGAGTTCCTAAACAGAAATGCTCTAAGAAAGTAGTACGTAATATCAATGGTTGCTATTTTCAACCAAAAATGATTGTAGCCGCCTTGCCTTGCCGGTAATGATGATGGTCATGTGTTCCCACGTCTGGGGAACTCAGTCAACCGATCTGGGTCTGCCTCCCTCCCTTCTTGCGTTACACCCCACAAACCCAAAGAAAAAAGGAGGGAAAATTCTTAATCTCTTGATTAATCACTATTTTATTCTTAATATAGTCTGATAACATATTAATCTTAATTATTGATGTAAAATATATGGCGCTGAGTATGCAGACAATGTGTTTACATTAAATTCTGTTGTTAAAAATACCCATTTTGTTGAATGTTTATCTTGTTACTTCCAGTCAACCGTTTGGTCTGACCAGTTGCCTTCACAGTTCTCAGCAACTTCCTTGTTTGCTTTCAGAGAGAGAGAGAGAGAGAGGGAGACAGGGTGGGTGTTAAGAACCTGCTCAACCTGTACAATGTAGCAAGGAAGATATGGAGTGGAAGAGGTAGAAGACGAGCACGAAACTCGTGTGAATTTCAATTAATAATACTCAAATATTAGTCTGAGGAGCAATGAGGCCATTGCTCCATTTAAGTAGCCTTTCCACTCAGAAATGCCAACTCAGCATTCCATTACATAACCACTCACTAAAGGACAAACCCTTTTATTTACTAAACTGAAATTACAACAAAAGGAATAAAATGCATTTCCTAACATCACTCCCTCCTTAAAATCAACCTTGTCCACAAGGTTTCAGAGCTGAAATGTTGGGAATCTGGCATGAAAATCATCATAATCCTCCCAAGTAGCTGTGCTCTCTTCTTGTCCAACCCACTGTACTAGCAACTGAACACCTGCCTTGTCTTCCTTCTTGTAAATTCTCCTGGCAATATTGCCAAAGGAGCATCTGATGGATGAGAGTCTCGCATCTGAGCTTCATCTGTCAGTGTTGGCAGAGCTGTTATGGTTGAATCCACATTTCCCATGTGCCTCTTGAGGCAGCTGACATGAAAAACAGGATGGATTTTTGTTCCCTCAGGTAGTTTGAGTTTGTAAGCAACAGGTCCTACTCTCTCCAATACCTCATAAGGACCGTAGTATCGAGGGTGTAGCTTGTGATAAGCATGTGAAGCCAATGTTTGCAACTGATATGGCAGTAGCTTGAGATAGACTAAGTCACCAACAAAAAACTCTCTCTCAGTCCTTTTCTTGTTTGCATGAACTGCCATTCGATTCTGAGCCATTGCTAAGTTAGACCTGAGTATGGTAAGCAACTTATCCCTCTCAATCAACTCTTGTTCCACCGAATCCATTTTTGCAGTACCTAACTCATAAGAAGTAACATGAGGAGGAGGGTACCCATATACCAATTCAAATGGAGTAAATTTTGAAGAAGTATGATAGGAAGTATTATAGTTCCACTCTGCCCATGGTAACCATTTGACCCAATTCTTAGGTTTGTTTCCCACAAAGCACCTCAGATATGTTTCAACACACCTATTGACCACCTCAGTTTGTCCATCACTCTGAGGATGGTACCCCGAGCTCATGCAAAGTTGTGATCCTTGCAACTTAAAGAACTCCTTCCAAAAAGAGCTTAGGAACAACGGATCTCTGTCACTCACAATTGTAGATGGCATTCCATGCAGCTTGAATATGTTATCAACAAACAACTGAGCCACAGTCACGGCAGTATAGGGATGAGCTAAAGCTAAGAAGTGAGCATACTTAGTAAGCCTATCTACTACCACAAAAATGACAGTTTTTCCTTTGCAAGATGGTAATCCCACAATGAAATCCATGCTTATATCAGTCCATATTTTTTGAGGAATTGGCAAAGGTTGAAGTAAACCAGGAGGAGATAGAGTTTCATACTTGTTTTGTTGGCAAGTATTACACTCTGAGATATATGTCTGTATGTCGCCCTTCATACCTGGCCAATAAAAACCCCTTTTTAGTCTATGATAGGTCTTCAATACACCTTGGTGCCCTGCTGCAGGTGTTGAATGATGCTCAGTTAAAAGCTTAAGCTTCCAAGTGGAATTGGGGCTGATTACTATCCTGGACTTGTACTTGAGTAAGCCATTATCAAGATGATAATGGGCTAACTTAGAATCACTGGCTGTTCCACTCCCCAAGGATGTAACCGCTGCCCTTTTTTGCTTGATCCAAGCATCTTCTTCATTGTATCTTCTTAATTCATCCAACCACCCAAAATAGGGATAAGAGATAGCTTGACAACTCATGGATGAATGATTTACCCCAGTAGAACACTGAGTGTCATGATCTGTGACTTGTCTTCTAGAGAGGGCATCAGCAACTACGTTATCAACCCCCTTCTTAAAATGAATTTCATAATCAAATCCCATCAATTTGGAAACCCACTTCTGTTGGAATGTGGTATGAGCCCTTTGGTTTAAAAAATATTTCAAGCTGCAGTGGTCAGTCTTGATTATAAAATGTCTACCCTGAAGGTAGGACTGCCATTTCTTGACAGCATGTACAATTGCAATGAGTTCTCTCTCATAGGTGGAGAGAGCTTGATTCTTAGGTCCTAAGGCTCGACTGGTAAACGCAATGGGTCTCCCTTGTTGCTGGAGAACCGCACCAATGCCGTTATCCGAAGCATCACATTCCAACTCAAATGGCAATGTAAAATCAGGCAGAGCAAGGACCTGTGGAGAGGTCATAGTATCCTTGAGATTCTGGAAAGCTACTTCAGCTGCTGGGGTCCACAAAAAGCCATCTTTCTTAGTCATCTGGTAAAGGGGTTGGCAGATTTTGCCAAAACCAGGCACAAATTTCCTGTAATAACCTGTGAGACCAAGGAAACCTCTCAATTCTTTCACTGTAGTAGGCTTAGGCCAGTCCACGATAGCCTGAATCTTGGAGGGATCAGCCTCTACACCTTTGCTTGATATGACATGGCCCAAATATTCCACTCTACTTTGACCAAAAGCACATTTCTGCTTTTTAACATAAAGTTGGCTGCTGCAACACTTCAAAGGTCATTTTAAGATGTAACAAATGGTCTTCCCAAGTCTTACTGTAGACCAATATGTCGTCGAAGAACACAAGGATGAAATGCCGCAAGTGGGGTCGGAATATATCATTCATAAGGCTTTGGAATGTCGCAGGAGCATTAGTGAGTCCAAAAGGCATCACTAAGAACTCATAGTGACCTTCATGGGTTCTGAAAGCAGTTTTTTCAATGTCATGAGGATGCATCAAAAGTTGATGATAACCGGACCGTAAATCAAGCTTAGAGAAAAACAGAGCACCATGTAGTTCATCTAAGAGATCATCAATCAGAGGAATAGGGTACTTATCCTTGATTGTTATGGCATTAAGCTCCCTGTAGTCCATACACATTCTCCAGGTTCCTTCTTTTTTCTTCACAAGGAGAACTGGACAAGAGAAAGGACTGTGGCTTGGTCGGATAAAACCTGCCTTAAGGAGTTCTTGAACTGCTTTTTCAATCTCAGTCTTTTGCAAGGGACCATAATGGTAGGGTCGTATATTAGGGGGCTTAGATCCAGGAACGAGTGGAATTTGATGATTGTGAACCCTACTCGGCGGTAGCTCAGTAGGTAAGACAAAAATGGTGTCAAACTGCCCCAACACCTCTTGTAGTTGCGTAAGTTGCAAGGGGTTTAACTCACAAGCTTCAACCATTTTATCTTCAATGGAGTAAAGGAACAAGCCCAAATTAGAGTTGAAAATCTCTTTGTCAAGCTGTTGAAGAGTCACCTCTTGAATCAGTGGAGCAGGTGAGTCACTATGAATGAGCTTATACTGAGAACCATTCTTGGCAAATTCCATAGTTAGTAGCTGGAAATCCCATAGAACCGGGCTAACTGAGGAAAGCCATTGGACCCCTAATACGATGTCACACCCTCCTAATGGCAAAGAGTATAGATCCACACTACATTCATAACCCCCAATTGATAAAGCAGCATCAGTGCAGCAACCTGAACTACTAACCTTACCCCCATCCGCAATCATCACTTCAAATGGTTTAGTAGGTTGAGTGTGCCAAGCAAATTTCTTAAGGAGTCTAGAATCCACAAAATTATGGGTGCTTCCAGAATCTAAGAGAACTGTGACTTGGTGACCATTCACTGAACTGATGACTTTCATTGTTTTCACAGTGGGCCTAGCAAGTGTGCCATAAAACGCACATTCACTAAGTTCCATTTGTAAAATTTCAGGTGGTGGTTCTTCTAGCAATGGGGTGGTGATCTCCTCTTCAGGGTAAGCTAGATCAAGCATGAGGAGTTGCTTATTAGCACAATTATGTCCCATGCGCCACTTTTCATCACAAAACCAGCACTCACCCTTCTCCCTTTTGCATTGAATTTCCGCAGGAGTTAACCTCTTCACAGGGAAATTAGAGGGTTTAACACTAGGAGTGATGTGTGGTGTAGTAGGGGTGTGTAACACACGAGGCTGTGGAAAAGGCTTAGTATAGCCACTCTTCAAATCACACAATTTAGCATCAAGTTGTAAGGCAATTGAAATGGCATCATGCACATCAGAAGGGCGCAGAAGCTTAACATCATATTTAAGTTCACGTTTCAATCCACCCAAGAAACAACTCTTTAACAATAGAGGCCCTAAATCATGGGTTCTATTTGCCAAACGCCTAAATTCAGTGATGTAATCTTTGAGAGTACCTGATTGTTTCAATTTGAAGAGCGCTTCGGCACTGTCTTCAAACTCAGAGGGTCCAAATTCTTTGCAAAATGCGTGTGTGAAATCCCCCCACCGAGGAGTGGTGCGCAAGCAATCGTGCCATCGAAACCACTGGAGTGCCTCTCCTTCCAAGTGAAACGAGACCGTTAAGACCTTCTGAAGCTCAGGAATGGAATAGTAGGTGAAAAACTGTTCCGATTTATAAATCCAAGCAAGTGGGTCTTCACCCGGAGTGAATCGGGGAAAATCGATGCGAGGTTGCCAGTTATGGCGAGGCCGGTGAGGATCGAGGTCGCCGGAATCGTGAGGATCGGCGATGAGTGGTTGGGGAGGAGGATCAGTATCAGAAGTGGAACCTCCGCTCCCACGAGCACAAGCTTGCTCCCGACGAAATTGTTCGAAGAACATCGCCATTTTTGAATCGATGGAATCAGAGAGGGCAGCAACAGAAGATTCCAAAGCAGCAACTCGAGCGTCCATGAGAGATAATCGAGTGTTGGGATTGTAGCGGGGCATACAAAGAGGGATCCAGGATCAAAATGGGGTGATACCAATGTTAAGAACCTGCTCAACCTGTACAATGTAGCAAGGAAGATATGGAGTGGAAGAGGTAGAAGACGAGCACGAAACTCGTGTGAATTTCAATTAATAATACTCAAATATTAGTCTGAGGAGCAATGAGGCCATTGCTCCATTTAAGTAGCCTTTCCACTCAGAAATGCCAACTCAGCATTCCATTACATAACCACTCACTAAAGGACAAACCCTTTTATTTACTAAACTGAAATTACAACAAAAGGAATAAAATGCATTTCCTAACAGTGGGACAGAGAGAGAAAGAGAGGAGAGAGATAGAGAGAGATAAAGAGAGAGAGAGAGAGAGAGAGAGAGAGTGGGGCTTTTATGCCATATTCCTTCAAAATCTCATTGAATTTCAGGGCATCATCTTGAAAGCCCGAAGCTTTTTTTGGTCAAGTCTGAGGTCTTTCAAGCTCTTTGTCAAAAGGGTGTCCTTGTATGCAATCTTAATCCATTTTTCTCTGAAAGTTTCTCAAAATTTTTCGGGGTTTTGAATTTTTTACTCATATTTTTGTTCACTATTGAAAGTTAGAAGCTTTAGATTTTATGGGTTATGAAGCTCAAGTCCATATTTCTCTGCCTGGATATGGAGGATTCATTGTCTCCAACTGGGTGCCTAGCTTTCTGTATAATTAGAAATTAATCCTTGTGCTTATTATTATTATTATTTTTGGATTTTAATCAATGTTTCCGCAACTGGGTAATTCCTGGAATTAAGTTTGGACTTCTTGAGAAATTGGGTAATTGTGGTTCAGACTATTTCTCGATTTTGATAGTTCTGAGCAATTTTACTGTGTTTGGAGAAATCGGGTACGTTTTGATATGATTTCTCCCTAGGATTGTGCAGTTTGTGCAGGAGAATCAACCGGATTTCGGGTTCTCTTAATAGGGTGGTTTTGGGGGTTGTTGGATCATTTATTCATAGCATTTGTTAAGCTTAGACAGAACTGCATAGATTTTGGAAGCCATGGATAATATCAATGAACTGTCATCATCCCTGAGCTTTTCCTCCTCATCCTATCTGTCAAATGGGTCCAGTAGTAACCATGTATCTGCCTCTGCCTCGGCCAGTTCTCAACCCGCACCGAGTTTTGAACATTATTTGAGTCTAAGCAAACTGAGTGATAATCTTGAGAAACTGTTACTTGATCATGAGTATGACTATAGTGATGCTGAGATTGTTGTTGAGGGAGACACCGTGGGTGTCAATCGGTGTATATTGGCTTCCCGGAGTCAGTTTTTTCAGGACCTTTTTAGGAAGGGGAGTGATGATGCGAAGAAGGAAGGTAAACCGAGGTATCTCATGTCTGAATTGGTTCCAAACGGCAGGGTTGGCTACGAAGCCTTCAAGGTTTTCTTGAACTATTTGTACACTGGGAAGCTTAATCCATCTCCTGGAGAAGTATCCACGTGTGTTGATGATCGTTGTCCGCATGATGCGTGCGGCCCTGCTATCAGTTACGCTGTGGAATTGATGTATGCTTCTTCCACTTTCCAGATGAAGGAGCTTGTTCAGCTTGTTCAGGTTTGTTCAAGCTTTGACTTCTTGTGTTGCTCTTTTGTGAATGATTGTGTGCCGTGCAGGGTAATTGTTTGTGTTCTCTCTTTGTCTACTTGCAATTTGTTGCAGACTCTTTATACTTACAGCCTGAAAACTTTGCAGACGTTTTGGTATAACTTATTTTACCTCTGCAAGTTTAAGATTTTAACACATTCATCTAGCAGGATTTACGGTTTCATCGATCAAATGCCTATATGTCTATTATTACCTGTTGAGTGGCATATTTATTCAAGTAAAGAGTAAGCGAGTATGGTTTATATTAGGTTTGCCAACACTAGCCAACGTTTAGGTGGTTTGTGCTGACAATTTCCATCAATTTATGCAGCGTCACCTTTCAAACTTTGTTGAGAAAGCGCTTGTTGAAGACGTAATCCCAATTCTTGTAGCTGCCTTCCACTGCCAACTGGATCAGCTGCTCTCACACTGCATCCAGAGGGTAGCAAGGTCAGATCTTGACAACGTGGCTATAGAGAAAGAGCTTCCGCATGAAGTTTCAAATGATATCAAATTGATCCGTCTCAAACATCAGGAAATGGAGCCGGTAGAGGATAAGAGAATCAGGAGTATCCACAAGGCATTAGACTCTGATGATGTTGAACTGGTTGGGCTTCTTCTGAAGGAATCTGATATTACATTAGATGAGGCTTACGCTCTCCACTATGCTGTTGCATACTGTGATCCTAAGGTTGTCAAGGAGGTTCTCGGTCTAGGCAAGGCTAACCCCAACCTCCGCAATTCCCGAGGGCATACTGTACTTCATGTGGCAGCCAGACGTAAGCTGCCATCAGTTCTTGTTCCTCTTCTGAAATGGGGAGCCTCTGCCTCGGAAACTACTTTAGATGGTCAAACTCCAGTTGCAATTTGCCGGAGATTGACTAGACCAAAGGATTTTTTGGAGAACACACAGACGGGACAGGAATCTAACAAAGACCGAATGTGCATCGGTCTTCTAGAGAGAGAGATGCAGAGAAACTCAATCTCTGGGAACATGTCAATCATATCGGAGGAGATAGCCGATGATTTGCACGTGAGGCTGGACTATCTAGAAGATAGAGGTGATCATTATTAATTTGTAGATTAAATCACTCCCTTGGTTACATTCAAGTTCAGATCATGAATTGTGGAAGTTGTGTTAAGTATAAAGTCAAAATTGCTGGCACATTCGCCTGCCTCATTCTTAATGCCATCAAGAAATTTACAATCAGTCAGTTTTTTACTCTTGTTGTCGAAAAAAATGACTAACAGCTTTCCTAATTTTTCAGTGGCATTTGCGCGGCTGTTGTTTCCTGCTGAGACCAAGCTTGCTAAGGAAATGGCAGATACTCATTCAACATCAGTGTACAGTGGCCTTACAGCATCAAGAGGATCAAGTGGGAACTTACGAGAGGTTGATTTGAATGAAACGCCCTCTGGACGCACCAAAAGACTCCAAACAAGAATGCAAGCCCTTCTTAATACTGGTATGACCATTTAACCTCTGACATATATCCCGAACCCTCTGATTACATGTTTTCCTAGATGCGTGTTACGATGTATGTCCAGTTTCAAGCATTGTTTCATGCCTAACCTCTTTGAAAATTATAAAATGCTTTCGTTATTGGTCTCCGTCTAACTTCCCCACTGCAATGGCGAAGTTAGTATTACCAAGTCTATAGCTAGATTACCAAACACAACTCGAAGAAGTTTAGGAAAGAGCATGACTTTGTTTCGTGATTTATTCTTGGAGCAATCGGTAAGTTATATGATATGGTGATGGCAGTGGAAATGGGGCGGCGTTTCTTCCCCAACTGCTCGGAAGTGCTTGATAAGTTTTTGGACGATGAGTTGGACATGGCGGATTTCATCCTCGAAAAGGGCACTCCCGAAGAGCAAAGAATCAAGAGGACGCGGTTCTTGGAACTTAAAGAAGATGTACAGCAGGCATTTTACAAGGACGTGGCTGAACAAAACCGGTCAGCTTCGTCATTCTCGTCATCGTCTTCATCTTCCCCGAAGGAGGGGGTAAATCGCAAGGTTAGGAAAAGGCGTTGATTATATATTTTGCAGTAAGCGGTGAGAGATCTTGATAAATTTTAAGTTGTATTTTTCCTTCCAAATAGAATGAGATCTATGAATCTGTAATTTATAGCTTAAGGTATTGGGATTGTGCTTTTATATGCTTGTTTCTCATGTTTTCAGTATGTTCTAATACTGTATAATCTATATGTCATTCTATTTTACAATTTTGTATCCCAATACAATTATGTATGACAAGTTATATATATATGTATATGTTATATAAGAATTAACAGTCCATCTAGTCCTCGTAGGCCCTCTTCGAGGCATTAGGCCCCAGTCGCTGCCCGACTAACATATAGCGTCTTTATCTAGAACATTGCTATCAACCACACGTCATTCTATTTTACAATTTTGTATCCCAATACAATTATGTATGACAAGTTATATATATATGTATATGTTATATAAGAATTAACAGTCCATCTAGTCCTCGTAGGCCCTCTTCGAGGCATTAGGCCCCAGTCGCTGCCCGACTAACATATAGCGTCTTTATCTAGAACATTGCTATCAACCACACCATGACGAGCACTCCTAATACGCATTAATGACTACCACTAATTTGTAAATTGACAGCTATTTACTGCTATTAAATTTTGTATTTAAATTTCATTATACTTTTAGATCAACTAAAAAAAAACTTCACAATTTTTTTTCTTTTGGAGCAAACGATATTATCTACACAAAGATATTAGTAAAAAAAATTAGTATAAAAAATTTAAGTTGGGCTTTGTTTAATAGGGTAAACTAAAAATTTAGAGATTGAGACCTCAAAATACCATCTAATTAAATATCTAATTAAACATCTAATTCATCTAGGCACCAACTGCTTAGTTAAATTAGAGGGTCCTAAAATGGCCCTTCCATAGGCCACAGGCAATGATGCTAACTTCTTTGCTTTTCCCACATATGCCCTTTTTGTGAAATTGTCATAACCATTTGCTTCAATTGCATCTAGAATCTGCCTGTACAGCAACAAAGATGCCCATACTGGCCATCTACTAGCTGAGTTGAGCTCTGAGACACCCTTCTCAGCCTCATCAAAGAACATCCTAGCTCTCTTTATTTGTCCCTTCATGAAACTTTGCCACTTGTCAGTCACCTTCCCGCGAAAGATGTCATCGTCTGATAGGCCGGCTTGGGCAAGCTCGTCTTGTGGGAGATATATCCTTCCTCTCCTAGCACTAAAATGATCATTTCAAAGAGCAAGATTTTAGTTAGATATGATGTGCGATGTTCTCTTGCCAAATAAATGCTTATATTGTCAGACTGTGAATCTCGACAACAGTCAAGAAAAGATCGGACTAATCAATGGTTCATACTCACAGTCTGGCAACACGAGTTTCTAAACATGTAATGTTTAAAGGGGCTCATGTATTATAAGATGAAACTTACTCTTCTCCAACATCTCTGAGAATGTTAGTGAGCTGATTAGCAATTCCAAGGGCCAATGCAGCATTGTAAACACTTTCTGTTGAGGCCTTTGATTCCCGGGATATCCCCATTACCGGAACACTCATCAATCCAACAGTTCCAGCAACATAGTAGCAGTAAAGGTAAAGTTCATCAAAGTTCTGGTATCTTGATTTTCTCAAGTCTAATCTCATTCCTTCTACCATGTCTCTGAAGGGCTGTCAAAATATCGAAATTTGTATGGTGAATCATTCAGTACGTTCAAATTTTGATAGATTAAAGAGTTGTAATTAATCTCTGATCTTGAGTATGTGGTATCTATATACCTGAATGTCAACAGGGTACTTGGCGACTGTATCAGATAGAGCAGCATCATACATATCATAAGGCCGGCCTTCGAAGAGATCTGTCAGTCTTTTCTCCCATCTGTCAAGAGCTTTGGGTGTAATGTATGAAGCATTAGGTCCATCCACTAGCTCATCCGTCCTTCTGCACCACACTGCAGAAAAAAGCAGAACTCTTCATTTAGTATTTACCAAAAGGGATGGTACTAATTCTGGCACAAATTCTGTGACTATACTAACCATAGATTGCCCAAACAGCTCGTCGCCGCTCCGGTGTCATGAGCAATGTCCCTGAAGAACACAGAAAGAAGTTGGTAAATACAGTTTCCTTCCAATTCATAAATCCATTTCAAGTAAAAAATGGAAGCAAAAATAATTCCAAATTGTGCTGCCTGCAACAATAGTTAGAAAACCTAAAGTTAAACAACATGGAATGTGAAGAAGCACTGCCTATCCTTAAAGATTTGATAACTTAGAATCTGAATCTTCATTACTTTCCTTACATTACCTTAAACAGTTGTCTCAACTACAAGGCGAGATGAGATTTTTCAGTGTGCCGGAAAAACGGCCTGGTACATCAAGTGTAATTATACAATTAGTTACATTTGAGCATCTAATTGCCCCTCAAACTTCCAAATTTCCTTTTCAATTTCTCCATTTTCCATTACTTCGAATGAAAATTTGAATCAATCAGATTCTTAGCTTCCGTGCGTTTACTAAAACATGATTATTGAAATGATTCCAATTGCCGACTTCTCTTGCGTTATTCGCATACATAGAATCAGAAGAAAAAAAGTCCGAATTTCACATTACCATCCGCAATCAAATACCTAATAAAATATAAAAAAGCGGTCAACTAGATTAACTATATTTCCTTCTTTCTTGCATGACTTTCCAAGTAAGTGTTTAGTGAATGATAATATAAACTACTTGTCAAGACTCACGTGCGAACGTTTCGAAGAAAAAAGCGATTCAAGATGTGCACTCAACTGCTTGGGAAATAAAAACAAAGAATACAAAATCAAGTGGTCAGTCCACTTTATTAAAACAGTGTAATTAGTATATCCACGAAAATGACCGGATCCCATTAAACAAAAAACCAGAAAAACCAAAGAGCTCGTAGTTTTTACACAAAAATTTATACGGTTAGAATAAAAATTAAAGAAAACTAATGAAAAGGACTTGAAAACTTTGAGTTTTAATGATAAGGACAAAATAAAGGGTAAAGTGAATAGTACAGGATTGACTTTTTAGTGTAAAAATGTGGTTTTTCGTTAAAGTGAACAGTACCGGGTGCTTTTCGTTAAAGTTCCCTAAAAATTAACGTTAAACTGTACAGAGAGTTTCATTTTAAGAAAGTCTGGTTAGAGTTTCTCAAAACTAAACAGATAAACAGACAGTAAAAGCAGAAACCACAGAAACAGACGAAGAGAGAGAGCAGCAGAAATCCAGAAAAGTTACTTACCTAGGTAAAAAGTCTTGGCATACTCTGCACAGACCTCACCACACCGGTCATACGCCTTATTCAGTAAATCCCAGTTGTTCAAACCTTCAGTAATCCGTTCATCCAAATCCAAAGATTTCTTTTTTACCGTGTTCGGTTCTCTCACTAGAGCAGCCTGCTTCAGCACCACTTCATACACCTTCTCCTCTGAAGATCTGGCTGGGTTTGCAACTGCACCCGAGTAGGCCAAAACCCCACTTGAAAAACCCAGCTTTGAGCACAATTTAGACCTCCTTGGGGTGCAAATTCTCGGCAACAGACCCAGCGGAGAGCTGGCATTCTCTTTGGGACTCACCACCCAGAGAAGAACACCTGACATATCAAAAAATATAATTAATCTGCTGGGTTTTTGGGTTTTTGGGGTTTTGGGTCTTGAGTGTGAGGGTGGGAGGGAGGGTGTCAGCTGTGAGGTTGTCGCTTCTCTTATAGAGATTGGAAGGGTAAGGCGCAAAAGTTTTGAAAGCAGGGGTGGTTGGCAAATGGGTGTCCAGTAGTTTTTGTGTGACTATTGCAATATATATGCCTTTTATGCAAAGGAATTTCTAATTTTTCTCAAAAAAAATGTAGATTAGGTGTGGGACCTACTTGACATTGTATTTTAACAATCTGAATCGTTTATTTTGTAAGTTTTGATTCATAGATCATCCTTGCAAAAATTCAATCTAAAACCATTTGCTAATTTAATCATCAAGATCAAATTTTATTGTTTATTATATAATAAAGTATTTGTTAATTTTTTTAAACTCAATTAGATGTTTTAAATATTTTTGATTTGGTTAATATTTTGCAAGAATGCACTATAAGATGTAGGGCTGGAAAAAAATCCCAAAAATCTCAAACCAAACCGAAAAATTCCCGAAACCAAACCGAAAAAATCCCAAACCGAAATTCCCGAAAATTTCGGTACCCAATACCGAACCGATCCCGAAATTTCGGTACGGGAATCGGTCTCAAGTTTTTGGGATTTCGGTATTCCCAAACCGAACCGAAAAATATATATATATTATTTAATTTTTAAATATATATTTAGATCGACAGAGTCCATAGAAAATGAAGGCTTCAATAGTTGCACATATTTCTATATGAATGATTTAAATCGACAGAGTTTTACAATTGTAGCATCTACATTTGAATCCAGATTGGCAGTCTTGCAATTGTAGCATCTACATTTAAATTAACATAGTCTTGCAATTGGCACATATTGCAATGGGTTTCTTAGCAGATGCAGCCCAAAAGTGTTAAAAGGTTCAATTTTAGCCCAAAAACATAATATTTTAGTCCAAAAGCCCAAAAGCCCAAAATCATTTCGGGATTCCCGGTTTGTCCCGAAATCCCGAAACTATTTCGGGATTCCCGAAAATTTGGTTTGGGATCGGTATTGAAATTGAAATTCCCGAAATTTTTGGTTTGAGAATCGGGACAAAGGTTTCGGTATGGGATCCCATACCGAACCACCCCTAATAAGATGCAACTTAAAAAATAAACGGTTTTAATAATTAAAATTCTATGTAATATAAACCTCACAATTTATCCTCAGTTTTATAAAAGAATAAAGATCCTCTAAGATCCTCTCTCTCTCTCTCTCTCTCTCTCTCTCTCTCTCTCTCTCTCTCTATATATATATATATAAGAAACGTTTCTCTTTGGTTCCAAGGGTTGATAACGATGTCCATGTACTGAGAGAAGAAAAGTTATGGCCTTTGTCAAACAAGCGAAATTCAAGGTATATGCTTTTGCCATTTGGATAGCTGGTACATGGAAAATATGTGGACAGCGTTTGTATGACTTGTGTGTGTTTATTTTTATTTTTCTTTGTTGTTCTTTTGTTGAGAATAGGTTACCATCGTCCGCGCGCGTGGATGGAGAAAAGTCCTTTGATTGGTATGGGACATACCAAACGACGGTT